TTAGAGAGGGAGTGTGGTCAGTAGCATCGCCTGCTGCCAGACACCTGCAGCCAGCTGCAGCCTTGTCATTGTCAGCGTGGCAGCTGACTGATGTGCCCACAATGAGCACCATAATTGGAAGAGACAGACTGTAAAGCAGAACTGAGCAAGCATGTTACTAAGGTAATGCAAACCCCATCCCAGACCCACACATCCTAACAGGGTGTTACCCACTCGCCAGCTCTGGATGCCTGGAGCTGTCAATCTGAAAAGCCAGTTTCACTCACTTAAAGGTATAGTTGCTACCCATCTTTTAAAAATCAAATTAAGAATTTTTCTTCTCCTCAGCACAGTCTGCAGCACAGCAAATGCTAATTTAAATAGAGAAATCACAGATTAAATGTTTTCTTCCCTAAGGAAGATAAATTTTTTTAAAATACATGATTAGCTGTCTATTCAGATTCATCCTGTATCCTGCTTAAATCTTACAGCTCTTTCAGCAGGAAAACCAAGAGGCACAAAATCCGTATTTCAAAGCTTTATTGGAATGTATATGCCCCTTCTTTCCAGCTCAGGAGACAGCAGGCGTGAATTCCATTTCTAATCTGTGTTAGGCCACCTGCAAAGAGGGGAAGGGAGCCTGTGAGTTGCTCCAGCAAAATGCAATTCTTCTTGTCAGATGAATTATAAACCCGTTCCCCATGCTGTCTACAGAATGCCAATTCCAATGGAGTCACTTTCTGAGAGTGCTGCTGTGCTGCCAGGCTGTTATTCACGATCAATACAGAATTTCTGATAATAGCAGTGTTTCTTTCTGATGCCTGAAGGCTGCAGACCTTGTCTGGTCCAGCTTTTCATGCAGGGAAGGGGTCAGCTGTAGTAAGGCACTATTATGTGAGCAGCCCACAGCAGCCTGCTGGTTTCCAGGGGAATGGGGAGCTGTGACCCCGCCGCGGCAGGACAGGACAGGCACCGGATCGGGCAGGGATGAGCACCCGGGACAGCATCCACGGTGCTGTCAAGAGGGGTCATTCCAGAGCAGCTCCCAAATGCAGCACCAAGGCAGCGTCTAAGGATTACACAGCTGCAAAAACACCAGGAAAAGAGCAAGAACCTGTTTGATTGTGCTCACTAAATGCAAGGCTTTCATAGCTGATCGCTGTTTTCTTTAGACTCCCTCAGCGTGGCCCAGGGGCACTTGCAGAGCTGAAGAGCAGCCGTGGCAGGGCTGGGGGGGCACGGCTGGGCAGCACCGAGCGCAGCCCGCGGGGACCCGAGCCCGCAGGGACCCGCAGCGCCCTCTCTGCAGCGGCGGGAGTGGGGGCACCTCCGGGCTCGGCTGCCAGGGCCCGGGGCTGCTCGGGGCTGCGGCCGGCGGGGCCCGCGGCGCTCCCCGGCCCGGCGGCTGCGGGGGGAGCGCGCCCGGGGCTCACCTTGGCCTGGAAGTGGATGCCGTGCTGGAAGGCCTCCTCGTTGTGCAGCGGGACGCGGGAGTCGCAGCCATCGTCCACCAGGTTGTACCGGTTCTTCACCGGCATGGCGGCGGGCGGGCGGCCGCCTCAGCCCGCGGCCCCGCCGGGCATCGCGGCCGGCAGCGCCCGCCCCGCCGAGCCCCGGGCGCCGTGCGGGGCTGCGGGCGCCAGAGCCCGGCCGCGTTTTGAATGAGCGTCCGCGGGAGCGAGCGGGGCCCCGGCCCCGGCGCGGCGCCATTGGCCCGAAGTTCCCTCATGTGATGCGGGGGGCGGTGGAGCCGCCCGGCCCTGCCCGGCCGCCCCGCCCCGGCCCCGCCGCCGGCAGCGGCTGCGGCGCCCGCGATGCTCCGCCGGACGGACGCGAGGGTGATGAGGGGTCTGGGGCATCTCGGTTACGGGGGAACGCTGCGGGAGCTGGGCCTGGTTAGTCTGGAGAGGACTGAGAGGGGATCCCATCAAATCTCCTTACAAATCTTTCCAAGGGCTGTTCTGAATGAGTGGTCACCTACGTTATGTATGTCTCATGTCAATATCGCTTACAGCTCTGTTAGAAATGAGCACATGCCCTCTCAGAATCCTGGCGCGCAGTCGGTACCCACTGTGTCCCTCAGTATCCTGTGATACTCTCAGGATTTTTGGCACCCTGTGTGCTCACGGTGTTTTTTCCTCCCAGTCTCGGTGACGAGGCACTGCCAGGCCCAGGTGAGCCCTGTGGGTGCCACTCTGGGACAGCTGGCACACCTGAGTGTGACATTCCTCAGCGGGCACCAGCACAGGGAAGGGATGAGGTGTGCCCAGCTGTGATGGCAAGGCCCAGGGTTTGTCTTCTGACTCTTAGTACAGCCACACTCCATTTACAGGGATGATCAGAAATGTGAATTGTGTAGAATCCAAAGGGTGGAGGGTTACATGTGCGCCAGTGGATCTCATCTGGGTCCCCTCAAATTAATTTTTGAGTCTTAAAAGTAACTCCCAGCCAGGTGTTTCAATGTATTTGGACACAACCTTTCATGTGGCTTTTACATTAGCAAGAAAGAAAAGTTTGACCACAGGCAGACAGTGCACAGTTCCCAGTATCCATCTCAGGAGCGTGATCACCCTGAGCTTCTGGGCATTTCTGAGTACTTGTAAGTCAGTGGGAGATGGGCAAGAGCCAAGAATCCAGAAACTTATAATTAAGAGAGGGAGAAAAACCCCAAGGAATTAATATTGGTTCACAGACTGTGACCCTACATGTTCAAATATTTTGAGGTATTAGCAACTCTTTCTGGGGAGGGTTCTGTGGTCAGCCTTCTGTCTTTGTGAAGTTTTTCTGTTTCCAGACAGACTTCTTTTCTTCCAATCTATAGCACTACATTATCTTCTCATTTAAATATTCACAAGTTTATGCTAATCCCGCTTTCATACAGCATAACTCAATGTGGGTTTTGTCAGTTGGTTTCTGTCCAGGATGCTCCCCTAGATACACATCTTGCCTGCAGATGCATCGGTTTAGTTCTTTGTTGGGGATTTTTTGTGTGGTCTGTGCTCATGTTTAGTGTGTACTTAGAACATTTCATGGCACCTTTTCTTATCTTGTACATATCTTGACCAAAAAAATATTTGTTGACCTGAATGAATAACCTAGATTTTGTGTGCGAATGTCCTTGGACTGATTGAGCAACGTTCAGGTCTTTGGTTCTCCTAAGCCCAAGGAGGAGGAGATGCCGCCCAGTCAGGCTATGCTCATGCTTCCTTTGATGCTAACGCCAGCAAAGCTCAACTCATATGGGGAAAAACCTAACACAGCCACTGGTGAGTGTCTACATTGATTCTGCAATACTGCATTTCAGGCATGCAGGAACCTGCCATCGTGCTGAGCTGCTCAAAGCTTCTCCTCATTACCCTCCCATTGCCACAAGAGCATTCCTATATACGTGGGAGCATATGGACTTCACTTGGGATAGTTAAATTTTTAAACCTCATAGAAAGACCAGGATGAAATAACAAGAATGGTCTTTTTAATTCCATTCTGGTGCTCTCCAGTATCCCGCAGATTATAAAATCCTTTGGGTAGGAGGAAAGAAATATCTCATGGGAATCCTGAGAAAAAGAAGGCAACTCTTATTTAATAAAGCTTGCAGTGCCAGTTTCTGTTAGATCACAATTGAATGGAGGTGTTTAATACTCCCTGTTCATGAACTTCTGTGAACTTTTCATAGGGCTTAAATCTCCTGATGTTAATGGTTTGGATCTGTGTTTGAGAATTGAGTTTGAAGGCTGCTAAACTTAAAAAGCCGTTAATTTTCTAGTTTGTTTGTTGGGCAAAGAAAATTCTTTGACTCCACTGGAAGTAAGAAAGCTGTATGCCTTTTCTTCTGGACAATGAAACTGGGCAAATATGTGGAATGAAGCCTTTACACGGGACATCGTCACGGATTTAGTATAAACAAACCCTGAGTAGCACTGAACAGTTGGCCAAACCTCATGGTGGGTGTTTGCATCACATGGAGGTGCTGAGAGAGTTATTCCTTTGATGTGCAAAGCACTCACAGAAAGTCCTGATTCTCTGAACACAGTAGGAGTGAAGCCCCAAGACAGCTTCTTGGCTCGGAGCTGTGTTTTTGCAGGGACCAGGTTTGTATCAGCTTTCTTTCTCGGGCATAGGCTCCCAAGATTTCCTTCCTTCTCTTTCTCTCACATGGGTGCACATTCCTGCCTGCCCCAGGACTCTGCATGAAGCCCCTCTTCTTACATAGCTTCATCTTTGGAGGAGCCCTTGAACGTGGTGTAAATGGGTGGTGGGTGTTACATGCAGGGTGTTCTTTAATCAGCTCCTTGGTTGGATTGTAGGGAAGGGAGCTTTTGCTCCTGTCTGATCCTATCAGATTTTTCCAAAGGCACCTTCACAGATAAAGGATCTGGCCTTGATGCCATGGACTTTTCCTCCTTTCTGCTAACCCTTTTAAGCACTTATTTCTGCACAGCAGAGTTGCAGAGATTTTGAATGACAAATAAGATGTGACATAGGAAGAGCAACCAGACAGACATCCAGTAATGGCAGACAAAACCTCTTTTACAGGAGAGCCCTTCCATATCACACATAAGAGCTGTGAGGTCTGTGCATGGGTACTGTCCTAGGAGATCTGGGTTTGTCATGCCACTTTAACATTATAATTAATATTATTAATATGTACTTGTGCCGGTGCAATTTTTACAGCACAGCCTCCAGTGTACTAACACACCAGCAGACTTCCTAGAAATGCTGCTGTGGGATGAAATGTGGGGGCAAGAACAGATAAACCAGCTGCTGTTGACTAAGTTGTGTGATGTTACCCCTGATGCATTGGGGGTTTCAAGAATACCGAGAAAACTCCTGAACAAAATCTTTGAGTCTGCTGAGCTGCCCCATGAAGGGAACTCAGAGGTGACATGTGGAACTCAGAGGTGGCATGTGGCACTGATGGTTTCAGCCCCCTCAGCCAGTGTCCTAGGTGTCTCTGTGAGCACAGGGGCTGCTTGGTGAGATGATTATTACAGCAGGTTTGTGTTGCTCAAGAGGCAGCAGAAGCTCCGTGTCGGGGCACAGCACGGCCAGGCAATGTGCCTGTCAGGCTGCAAGCCTCTTTCATGCATGGCCAGCTCCAAAGGGCTGTGCAGCAGGACTTGGCAACCGAAAATGTCATCTACAATTATGCATATTTTCATCATCTTCTATCATGCAAATCCCCCCACCCCAAATATGCAGCAAATGTTTTGTTTGCATATGTAGGTCAACCACAAATCTTCTGTGGTCGAACATAAACATGGGCAGCACAGAGTGATGTATGTGGATTTAAATCCAGGCTGAATCATAAGCCCACCACGGACCTTTTCCAAGTGGAGTCTGTTTGCTAGATTCGTTATCTCTGACTTTTCATTTTATAGAGCATTGCTTTCTCATGGATTTGTGAAAGAACGACTGACAGGAGATACCATCGTTGCAAAAGGAACTATTAACTTAGACACAGATGGATGGTTCTTCATGAGTAAGTTTGGTTTTTTTTTTAACAATAGCTTAAGGAATGTGTTCTTTTTCAAAAGGGTACACTGAAGTATTTCTGCAAATTTGCATTTGGGAGGAGGCCAGTTTTATATGATATTTTAAAAAGATGGTATGTTCTTTTTGCAAATTACATGCTACTTTGTTTTTCTTATCTTGGCTGTCTTTATCTTTAAAAGAGAAAAGTATAGAAAAGAATACAGTTATTGACCTTATGATGCTACATAAAAGCTAAAAATGTTGATCCCAACTTGGAAACAAAAATGCTTACTTAGAAGAGGGGAAATATATTAGTAAAGAAAAATGTTACTTGTTAACCTCATAAGCCTCACATGTTCACATGCCCAACTCAAGAATTCCATATACCACAGGCTGGCAGTACAGTCCCTCAGTGTGAGCTGCTGGGATCAGCATGGTGGCACGATGGAAAACTGTTCAGGTTGCTGCATCTGTAAAAATGCTTTGTTCCTGGATTCCTCCTGGGACCTGGCACTTACCTGTGCACACACAGACACCAGGTAAGTGATGATTTTGGGTAAATGAGAGTGAAGTTGTTAGTCTGAGAGATGAGTGTCCAATCAAACAGGATCCTTCCCCACTCCCATTAAATTAGGCCAGCACCTCTGCTGTCTTTGGTATCCTGAATTTAATTAATGAGAGCATAGGGAGATTACAGTTCTCCTGGATGGAATCCACATGCTTGTTCACTTATTATCACAAGATATAACAGTGTTCTTATCAACAATTCCCTCTGAGCAAGGGTCTCAGGAAACAGCCTTGTGTTTAAGAGCCCCCTGTAACTAAATTTCCCCTCTCCTCTCAGGGGACAGCTGATCTCAAGTTTCCCATTTCTCTCCTGCTGCTAGACCCAGCTTGCTGTATTCAGCAGGATTCTCCTCCTGTATTTCCCTGTGCCTCATTGCTGCCCAGCGTGCTGTACCTGACTGCCACGTGCAGCCTGACCCCACGCTGCACACTGCAGCCCATCCCTGTTTATCCCAACAGGAAATGAGGGTTTTATCCACACCACACAGGCAAACCAAGAATGGGATCTATTACAGCTTCTCTGGTAGAGGAACAGCTAGTCTGTTATTAGCCTGTAAGAAATGTGGATATATGATAATCAGATATAAAAATATTTCCCCTTTGCAATCATTTTGTTTGGTATTTCCCATGCTCCAATGTCTCTTAATGCTTTGGCCCATCTTAACTCTATCCCTGGCTTTCTTTCAGCATTGCTGACATTGGTGAGGATAAATTTCTGTGTTAAAAATATTCATCTGGGAGCCTGGCAGTAAAATAAGAGACAGTCAGAGTCAGGTCACCACTTTAAATCACACTCCAACATCTCTGAATTGCTTTTCTTACTACTGAATTTTTAAGCCAATGTTAAACATAAGCAAAATATTAATTTTTCTTTCCAATTTGTACCTGCCCATGGTAGAGGTTTGGAATGAGATCTTTAAGGTTCCTCCCAGCCCAAACCTTTCTGTGATCTGGTGGTGGTGGTGAAACCAAGGATGTGCCTTCAGTGATGGACATGGAAAGGACACCACCCAGCCAGCTCATCCTGCCAACATTACCAGCCTCCCTGAGCTCCTGCTGGAACATGGAAACGCTCCCAAGTTTTTAATTAAACACTGCCACAGCTATAAAAAAAGAATGTACATCTTTTAATAGCAACATGAGAGCACCCAAGAGCGAGCTACCTGACCTCAGCCTTCCTGGTCCCTTCACGTTGCAAGACACCACTCTCTTTAATTAATTAATTTGTTTATTCGTTGCCTGCAAGGGTAAATGATGGAAGACTGGTGAGGCACTAAAAAAATAAGCATCTTGACACGACCTTGTTTTTTTATCTCGCAGCTAACTGGCAGTGCCAACTTTTTCTGCATTTATTTAAATTTTGCTGTAGTTTAAATAATTTTTGCTGAGATCCTGTTTCAGTCCTGTTCCAGATCACGATTCTGGTGATGGCTCCTTGACACAGAACCCCGATTATTCCCGTTTTTCCCCCAATCTCGGCTCCGGGCCGGATTTCCCAGGGCGCAGCGCCACCGCCTGCCCGCAGCCCCGCGTTCATGAGCCCGGGTTGTGCTCCTGCAGCCGCCTCACGGACACGTTCTGCGTTTCACTGCCACACGGGCACGTTCTGCGTTTCACTGCCACACGGGCACGTTCTGCGTTTCACCGCCTCACGGACACGTTCTGCATTTACCGCCACACGGGCACGTTCTGCATTTACCGCCTCACAACCGTGCCGTGAGGGTTAATGTGCCATAGGGTCAGTTCTGGAGTGCTTTGGGTGGGAAGGGACGTTAAAGTTTATACAGTTCCAACCCCCTGCCCTAGGCAGGGAACCTTCCAGCTTGCTCAGGATGATCACGGAGCTGCTGTTAAGGTTATTAATTCCATTGCTGTGATCCAGAAATCGTTTTCCTATTTTCCTGCCATGTGCCTGAGAGAGTTCGAACTCCGCAGATGGGCTCTCCCAGCACCGATGCAGCAGCGCCTGAAGGGTCCATGGGAACACCCTTTATGAGAGGCAGCGCTTTGTAACGGCGGCCCGAGCCCCGTCTCACACGAGAAGCTTTCGGGCGCACGGTAAGGAGCGGGCGGAGTGTCGGAGCCGCCCGGGCGGTTCGGTGGCGATGGGCACGGCGTGCACCGCGCCCGCCCCGCAGCCCGACCTGAGGTGGCGCTCGCCCGCTTCCAACATGGCGGCCCCGCCCGCCCCGGAGGCCATTTCGGGCTGCGCGGGGCGGGGCCTGTGCCCGGTCCCAAAATGGCGGGGGCGGCGTCAGCGCCTCACGGTGGCGGGGCGGGGCCAGCGGGTCACCGGCCGCCCCGCTGCCATGGCAACGGGCGGGGAGCGGGGGCGGGCTGGAACCAGCGGGGATGGAGCCGGCCGGGCTGGGGACCGGGGCAGAGGGGATACAACCGGCAGGGACGGGGACAGAGGGGATACAACCGGCGGGGATGGGGACAGAGACAATGGAGCCGGCCGGGCTGAGGACAGGGACAGAGGGGACAGAACTGACGGGGACAGAGGGGATACAACCGGCGGGGATGGGGACGGAGGGGATAGGACAGGCGGGCATGGGGGCAGAGGCAGCGGAGCCGGCCGGGCTGGAACCGGCCGGGCTGCGGACGGCGGGGACGGGGACAGAGGGGATAGAATCGGCGGGGAAGGGGACGGAGGGAATAGAGCTGGCCGGGCTGGAACTGGCCGGGTTGGGGATAGCGGAAATGGAGCCGGCCGGGCTGGAACCGGCGGAGATGGAGCCGGCCCGCGAGGCGGAGGAGCCCCCGGGGTCCCCGGCCCTGCCCGCTGAGGCCCCGCAGGGCGGCCCGCCCGCCGCGGCGCTCTCGGGGGAAGGGGCGCTGCCCGGCCGGGAACGGGAGCGGGAGCGGGGCCGGCGCGGGGCCGGAGCGCCGGGCTCGGCCGGGCGGGCGGCGCGGGGCAGGGCCCGGCGGGCCCCGGGCCGCCGCAGCGGGACCGAGAGCGCCCGGCGGCCCGGGGTCACGGTGGACAGCTCCAAGGCCAAGACCTCCCTGGAGGCGCTGAAAATCAGCCTGCGGCAGCTCCGCTGGAAGGAGGTGAGCGCTCACCCTGCGCGGCCGCGTCCCCATCCCTGCCTTGCTCCGGCCTAGCGCCGGTCCTGCCCACACTGCCCTCCCTTGTCTCGGCTCTGCCACCGGCAAAGCCTTCCTCATTTTCCACCTCCTCCTCCTCCCGTGTCTCCCGAGGGCTGCTGCAGCCGGGGGTCTCCCGGCTGTGCCCCCCGACCCTCGGGCTATTTCTGCCCAGATGCCGGGTCCGGAGCTGTTTTGGTTCATGATCACGATTGGCACGGCCAGTTATGCAAGCCAGAACAGGGGTAATCGGGTATTGCATTCCGAGGTTAAACTGATCGGGGAAAGGGCAAGAAGGAGCCCCGCTCCCCGGGGAACGTTTGACGCGTGTGTGGATTTGCATTTCTTCCCTCCCACCTCCCTCAGGGCTGGGGCAGCGCGGGAAGCTCCGGCCCGGTAGAGCCGCTGCCCTTGTGTCCGAGGCGTGTCGGACAGCACGGTGTATGAATGCTGATAACACACACATAACGGGCTCCAGCCTGCTAATTTACTTTATGTAGAGCAGCTATAGCTGGTTTTTTTCTCCTGCTGCTCGAGTCATGTGTTTTCTCATTGCTTTGTGAGGATTTCTGTGCCAGTATGTGCTGAACTGGAATCAGGACAGTAGGGGAGCTGGCACAGAACTGATGCTTTGCAACTCCTTATTTAAATCCTGGAGAGATTTCTTAGATGTATCTTACTATAGATGGTGAATTGTTCTCCAGCTGTAAAGATTTTCTTTACCTAACAGCTTTATAAACGGCTTTATAGAAGTTGAGGTGGCTTCTAGGAGCTTTGTGAGGAACTTGTGTAAGAAAAAGGGTACTTGTAGTCCATTTGTAAGAGGGAAGTAAGTTGGAGGGAAAAGGAAGAATAAAACCTGAGGATGAGCTGTTTCTCACGTGCAGAGCTAGGACAGAGCTGTGTGATCTCTGACCTGCAGCTACTCCACTTTACAAAGCTGCCTGTGGGATTCCCACTGACAAGATGATATTTTTGTCCACCTGATGCCTATTAAGCAAAATCTGTATAGACTTGGGGTAGACAGTATATTCTGTGCTGTTCCTAACCTCAGAGTTAAATACTGCAAATTTATTTTCTGGACGACTGAGTGGCAGTAAATGTTTTCCATGTTTGTTCCTAATGTCCTGCATACCTAATCCCACAAGGATATGTGTGCTCCGTGTCAGGAGGAGTAGTGCTTTCTCCTTCTCTGACTTCATAAAATTCTATTTCAGTATTTTTGTTATTTAAATCCAGTGGCAGGATTTCAAAACCGCTTTGCACCAGCGCCCCAGTTCTCAACTCCTGCTTGTACAGCAAAATAGTAACAACATACCAGAGCCCTGAAATTTAAACCTGCTACATTTACCTCTGGTAGCCCTCAGTGCACCTGTGGGGTGTCTGTCAGCAGCCTTGCTCAATGTTTTATGCAGTGACATGCAGAGCAGGGGCACTTCACGCTTAATTTCTTTGTTTTTAGGGTTGAGTTTTATGTTCTGAGGGCGGGGAGCCATTCCAGCGAGGGTTTCTGGATCACTAATATCAGTTAGCCTTGCAGGTTGTGCTGGGAATGAGCCACATTTAGTGGTAATTTTGTCTTTATAGTTTCCTGAGACTTCACTGTTTTGCATTTGTCTTGCACTTGATAGCCTTTCCTACTAATTGACTTGTTTCACAAGCTCCTGTTCCTCTCATGAATCTCTGTGCTGCATTAATCAGCTTTTTCCTTCCTGCTTTGCATCTCCCAGCAGCAATTCCTGCTGCCTTTACTTCATCTCTCTTTGTTCCCTGTCTCCCTCCATATCCTCTCTCCTCCATCTCTTCCTTGGGTCAATATTTTTCATTTAGTTTGTTGCTTCCTCCTCTGGCCACTTTGTCTCTTAATAAAGAAGAGGCCTAATATGGAATTTTGTGCTGCTTGACTGCACCATCTGGATGGCTGATAATTCATTCCCAGTAAACAACCTGCTGTCATGTATTGCTGTGTATCTTCAGTTTATAAATAGGTTAATCAGATCTGGGCAAGGTTTGAAGAGAAAAATTAACAAAATTGAGAAGATAAATCCAAGGAAAACTCTTTATTCAAGCCACATGTGATTCTGGAAGCTCTCCCTTTCAGACATTTAGAGAAATAGCATCCCTGTTTCACTGGGATGGCCAGAGCCTTGGAGCTGATTGCACTGTTGCAGCAGGACCAGCAGAGGGAACACGGGTGTTGCTTCCAGGATCCCTGAAAATATTGCAAAAAGAAGTCCTGGAAGTAGTAATGAAATGCATGTATTTTAAATAGTGATGTGTCAGGGACTGCTGTTCTACTGCTTTTTCATTTTCCTATTCTTGCTTTTGTTTCATTTCTGCTGTTTGCTGCTGGATGTGTTGGCTGGAATATTTTATTGGGAGGAGACAATATAATGTGCTTTTTCAAGTAGGCACCTTTTGATCCATAACTTTTTCTATCTAACGTATAGCATTCTTTCAGTGTCACATATCCATGTTTTATTATTTTATTATCATTAGTGAACTGACATATGGTAAATGTCATTATAAGACACACAAAAAAGGGAAGAATAAACATTGGTGACATATTCTGTGGCACTGATATGTGGGGAAGAGGGGAAGGAGTGCAAGACAGCAAACTGACCATTGAGATTCTGTTCTCAGAAGCAAAAGACAGAAAAAAAATCCATTTTTTTTTTCAGCAGTGGGAATTTTGAGTAAATGAAGCACTGAGGTTTGCTGGGCTGTATGGGAGGACCTTCCAAGAAGCATTGCAGAGCTCCCCTGTGTGTGCCAGCTCCTGTGCCAGGCTGGACCATCTGATGCAGCGTGTCACATCCTTTAAATGAACGTGATATGCCAAATGAAATAATGGGCACAAATTGAGCTTGCATCCCGAGTTTATTCATCTCTCAATAAATTATTTCTTCAGCAAGCTTTCAATTACCAGGAAAATGGAAGAAGCAGATGTCCCAGGCATCAAATATCCCAGCGCCAAGCGTTCCATTTGTCTCGCTGTTCGGAGAGTTTCAGGTTTTGTGCTGGGAAAAGCTGAGGGGAAAACGAGTCATTTAACCTGTCATTAAACATGATGGAACAGACTGATGGGACCTGTGAGACAATTTAAATTATTGGCTTCTAATCCAAAGGTAGAAATGACCTGTCAGACAGATTTGACTGGGATGGATTATTAATCATGTCAAACCTGTGGAAACAACTTTATTCTCTTGATGGCTCCTTGTTTATTCTTTTCTGACAAATGTTGCCCAAATCTGACTAAAAAGATTTAAAGGATTTTAAGAAAGGATGGCTCCAGCCCCTTTCTTTTTCAGCCTCTGTCCCACAGCAGGAGCTGGGAATGTGCTGCAAAGGCCTCTCCCCCATTTTAAGATTAATTAATATCTGCCTGGCGCTGCCAGAGGCACCAAATAATCAAACTTGGCTCCTCTCCAAACACCACTCTTATGTAAAGTGTGGTGCAGAGGTTACAGAATCC